CTCTCTACTATAGCATGGGGACGGCTGACCCAGGCTTTAGCCTAAGGGATTTGCCTAAAATCACCCAGCTGAGCAAGTGGTAGGGGGAGAAGGTGAGCCCAGTCCTCCTGTAGCACCAGAGCCTTGCAGGGGCTGCTGGAGAGAGGGACCCCACAGTGACATGGAGGTCAGGCCACAGACATTATGGGTTCCAGCCCACACCCATGTTCAAGGGAGAAAAGTCAGAAACTTGCATGTGGGCAGCACTGAGCCAGCTCTGGGTGAGCACGTCCTGCCGACCTGCTGGAGGGGGAGCCCAGGCTCTTGGCAGTAATGAGGGATGGGACGAGGCGGAGCGAGACGGCCAAGAAGGGGAGACAGGGGAGCCAAGCAGCCCATCTGCTGTAATGAACCGGGCTGGACCAGAGGAGTCCAGAATGCCAACACCCATCATTTGGCTCAGCTTAAGGAATCATAAAATTGTAGGACTGGAAAGTAGCTTAAAGGTTATGTGTTCCAGCTACTCCTCATACTCAGTTCTCTGAGACCTCACCCTGCAGTCATGCTCCAGAGGTGGGCGCACCCTCCCAGGACACCTCCACTCTGGCCAAAACCCTACCCCTTACCTTCAAAGTGTTGGCTCGCTTTGACACAGCAGTTGAGTTCTGGGACCCAAGCTCAAGGAAATAAACCCCCAATATGGAAAACACCATAAACACAAATGCGTGTCTTACAGAGGAATGTGTGATAACGTAGACTGGATGGTTGCCTGGAGGTTATAATGAGAGAACCGCCTCAGACACCGTGACTGGAGAACAGGTCTCTGGACCAGACATCTCTGAGCACATGGCTTCTACAAGGGTGCTCATAACAGGGGGAGGTACGGGGGCACCCACCTTGTCATCCAGATCAGGGCAATGAGTCCCAACAATCAACAGGGTGACAGGTGTCATAGCAGGGGTCAGCCAGGTCATAAGTATTTCTGGCTTTGCAGACCATGTGGTCTGTGTTGCAACTACTCAATTCCACCACTGTAGTGTAAAAGCAGCCATGGGCAATAGATACATAAATGAATGAGTGGGACTGTGTTCCAATAAAACTTTATTTATAACAACAGGCAGTAGGCTAGATTTAGCCCCAGGCTGCTGTTTACTGACCCCTGACCTCTACCCTCACATCTATTACTTTTAAATGGCAAAAAAGAAGAAAAGGGTATCCTAAACGTCCAACCTAGGGAAACTGTTCAATCAGCTAAACCACTTGGAACTGACTCATGCGATGCATATTCATCGGGGGCCTGGCTGAGTCAGACACTGCTCTGAGTGCCCAGGACACGGCCAGGAGCCAGTCAGCCAAGCAAGCTGCTTCAAAGCGATGTCTCGAAAATTCTACAGGAATTTGCAATAACAAGGAAAACCCTTACAATGCTCTGAGAAAAGCAAAATTACATATTAAAAATAAGACCAAACAATGTTTTTTCAAAAACCCACACACGGGGAAAAAACAAGGAAAGGAAAAGATCAAACGTTACTAAAAAGTTTACCTTTGGCTGGCTCCATCACCCCTTCCCTCATTTCCATCTTTTTTTTTTTTTCATATAATCGCATAGTATTTTTTAAAACAAAACGGGTCTTTTTGTTGTATTTAAAAGGGGAAAGCAGGTCTTGATTTTAAGCTGAGGTCTGTGTCCCGCCTGCTTCTACCTGTGACAGTTTTGCAGCGTCCCCAGCAGGAGCAGAGGAGCCCGGTGGCCCTCCTATGCTCGCCAGGGAGGGCCGAGGCGTTCAGCACCGGGGACAGCGCCCAGCGGCCCCGCAGGGAGCCGCCCACCTGGGCAGGGAGCCTGCGCGTCTTCCGGGTTCTCCTGCCTAGTCCTCCTGCCGGGTCCACAGGAGGTGCTCACAGCCTCTGTCAGAAGAAACAACTGAAGCAGGAAAGAGCTGTCTCTAAGCCTGGCTGCTGCCCATGGACTGGCTCTGTGACCTGGCAGTGGGGAGAGGCAGGCAGATTGCTGGTGGGGGGTGAAGCCAGCACTGCACGGAGCCCTCTCCCCACACTGCTGGCTTAGGAGGCTTGAAGCCTGGACAACTCACAGTGACTCTGCTGGGGACTGCTTCTCCCCCACATTTCCAGGGTGCATCAGGTGGCACCGGCCCTGGAGAAAATCCAGTACTCTTAACAAACTCTTTGATCAGATGGCATCCTTATTGAGTAATTTCTGACCTGTTCGGTCTTTAAGGCTAAAAGCGGGAAGGGCACCTTTAAGGAACCCGGCCCTCAGCAGGGGCTGGGGGACCAGAGGGTCACATGACTGGAGATTCTGACTCACACAGCACGTTCCCGTGTTTTCTTTCAGTTATGTATTTATATCCCAAATATAAGCATTGTAGTGTTTTTCTAACATTCCTCTGTGTCCATTCTTTATGGGTAACCTTTCTCTCTTTTCCAAATATTTTTGTAAAAAAAGTTTCTTTGTGAAAAAAATAAAGTGTGATTTTGTTTTATTTTTTAGAAAATCTTTTCCATCAACCTTATTTCATCCCGTGTGGGAGTCTGTGGAAGAACAGCCGGAGACCATAGCGGCTGTCCCCACCACTCGGTGGCCTGGCGGCGAGGGCTGCAGACCAGTCTCAGTGGCGGGCTGGGCGCACCAGTCTTTAGGGGAATGGCTCAGGGGCACAGTGGGCCTGCACGAGCTCGTGTTCCGCAGGAGCGCGTCTGTCTGTGCTCTAGCTCTCCCGCTTGCTTGTAGAGTGCCCTGAGCAACATGTCTGCGGATGAGGGTTCCATCCCCGGAGAGAGACCGCAGAGAGAGACCGAGTGTTTTCAGGTTCTCCTTGGAGCACTGGCAGCCCCTGCCAGCTGGGAAGCGCTTCCTGCGGAGGCTGGTCTGAGGCACCAGCTGATCTTTCAGACCTGACCTTGGAAGTGCTGTCTCCCCTCCCTCCGCCAGCCACGCTGGGCCGACCTCTGCTCCTCGCAGGCCTGCTTGGGGGCTGCACCTGTTGGTACAGACCCAGCAGGCTGGAGCCCTTCAGGCTGGGAATCTGACTCCCGAAAGGAGGACACTCTCTGACATTCTGCACCTTCTTCTTTCAAAGTCAAGCTCAATGTGAGTGGCTATGTGCCTTCTTCAGACCGGAGCAGTGCTTCGCACATCTTGAAAATACGCCTTCCTGACCTCACTGAGCCCCCAGAGACAGTCAGGCTGTGGCTTTTCCTCACTACCCCTCCATGAACCCCTCCTCAGCCCTAATCCCGGCACCCCCTCCTCACAAGCGTGCCATGGCTACCCTCTACTAATCCAAACCAAGACTCAGGGCACTGACAGACCCTCTGCCTGCGCCTGTCCCACTGCCGGGAGCCATGCCCAGCCAAGGTGGGCCGGCACTGGTCCCTGCCCACATTTCCTACTATGGCCTCCTGTATTGTGTACTCGGCATGACTGCCTTCCCCTCCCTCATTCACTCATTCAGTCAACCAAGATTTGCTGAGTGCCTGCTACATGCCAGGCACTGTTCTAGAAGCTAGAAGTCAGCAACAAACCAAACAGACAAACATCCCTGCCCTGGAGGATCTTATGTTCACGTGGAGGGAGACAGGCAAATAAATGAACACGTCAAATCCACAGGATGCCAAGTAGTAAGTGCTATGGGAAGAAGTGACTTGGCAAAGGAGACTACTGCATGCCAAGGGGCGGCTGGCACAGGGTTCAGGATGGCCTCCCTGGAGAGCTGGCACCTGAGCAGAACCCGGAAGCAGGGGGCACGAGCCTCTAGTGGAGTACTGGGAGAGCAGCATTCCAGGAAGCAGCAGCGGCCAGGGCCCGGAAGCAGGCATGTGTTGGTGTGTTCTAGGAGAGTCAAGGAAGCCAGTGGGGGTGAGAAAGATGTGCAGGCCTCATGGGCCACTGCAGGGACACAGGTTTTCACTGTGAGGGAGACCGGAGCCGAAGGGCCCTGACCAGACGAGGGACAAGTACACTGAAACAGACCACTCTCACCTCCAGGCGTTGAGAACAAACTGTAAGGGGCCAAGGGGGAAGAAACACCAGAGAGAAGACCACTGCAATTATACCTGGGAGGCAATAGCAGTTGAAACCAGATTTACGACTGGACTTCCTGGTGGGTTGGGTTTGGGGGCGACAGAAAGAGTAGAGACGGGAGTACTGATGAGAGTACTGATGTTTCTGGCTGGACCGACCAGAAGGGGTGAAGTTGCCGTATGTTAATGTGGTGAAGGCAACAGGAGCAGCAGGCTGTGTGAAGGGCAGGCATGGAGCTCACTCCCCTGTGGGACAGATGGTGACCAGCCTTGAAGCACCGAAAGGAACACGGTCTCCTCCAAGAAGCCTTCCTCACACCAAGCCAAAAGCACTCACCCCTGCATGCTGGTCACTCCCACCTCCCTCGCTGGCTCACTTGCTCACACACACACACACACACACACACCAAGCCAAAAGCACTCACCCCTGCATGCTGGTCACTCCCACCTCCCTCGCTGGCTCGCTTGCTCTCACACACACACACACACACACACACACACACACACCAAGCCAAAAGCACTCACCCCTGCATGCTGGTCACTCCCACCTCCCTCGCTGGCTCACTTGCTCACACACACACACACCAAGCCAAAAGCACTCACCCCTGCATGCTGGTCACTCCCACCTCCCTCCCTGGCTTGCTTGCTCACACACAGACACACACACACACACACACACACACAATTCCCCTGAGTAACCCACAGCGATTCACTCACGTCACCAGGAAGCATCAGCACACTGAGTGCTCAATACTGTTGGCACTATGCGTTGCAGAATCGCGCCTACAGTGTTTTAATTGTCTAACAACTCAACATTGTTTTTCGAAACATCTAAAAATTATGCTTAACACTGATTAAAGTTTAAGTGGCAATCATTCCATCTGAGCGTCCCAGATGGGGCTGCTGACCTGCCCCCAATCGTTGGCGTTGCCAAGGCGAGCTCTCCAAGGAGCACCAAGCGAGGGAGTCGGGCCTACCTTGCTGGACCTCACATCCCAGGCTTTGATTTCCGAGCCGAAGCCTCCACACACAAAAAGGCTGTGGTCTTTCGGATGAAATTTCAAGGTAGTGACTCTGAAGTTACTTTGACCACTAAATATCTGTGTTCCTACAACACAAAAAGAGAAGAAAGAAAATACTCAGATCATAAAATAAATATCTTTTTTTTTTTAATCCTCACCCGAGGACATTTAAATATCTTTAATAAGACAAAGATGCCACCTGGGACCCAGGTGGCCAGTGGAGACTTTCTGGAAACACAACACCGGCCTCAGCAACCCTGGCCTCACTCTCTGCCGCCTCCACCTGGTCAGCTGAACCCCCTCACAGGGCTAAGGAGCTGCTGGGTGGGAGAATGCGGCTGTCTATGTGCTCTGTGAACACTAACACATACCAGCTCCTATGAAGCACTGTGATCCACGGCACAACTGAAAAAACAGCACTCCCAGGCAGATCCCAGGCAGCTCCCAGCACTCCCAGCACTCCCAGCACTCCTAGCACTCCCAGGCAGATCCCAGGCAGCTCCCAGCACTCCCAGCACTCCCAGCACTCCCAGGCAGATCCCAGCACTCCCAGCACTCCCAGCACTCCCAGGCAGCTCCCAGGCAGCTCCCAGCACTCCCAGCACTCCCAGCACTCCCAGGCAGCTCCCAGCAGCTCCCAGCACTCCCAGCACTCCCAGGCAGATCCCCAGCACTCCCAGCACTCCTAGCACTCCCAGGCAGATCCCAGGCAGCTTCCCAGCACTCCCAGCACTCCCAGCACTCCCAGGCAGATCCCAGCACTCCCAGCACTCCCAGCACTCCCAGGCAGATCCCAGCACTCCCAGCACTCCCAGCACTCCCAGCACTCCCAGCACTCCCAGGCAGCTCCCAGCACTCCCAGGCAGATCCCAGGCAGCTCCCAGCACTCCCAGCACTCCCAGCACTCCCAGCACTCCCAGGCAGATCCCAGGCAGCTCCCAGCACTCCCAGCACTCCCAGGCAGCTCCCAGCACTCCCAGGCAGATCCCAGGCAGATCCCAGCACTCCCAGCACTCCCAGCACTCCCAGCACTCCCAGGCAGATCCCAGGCAGCTCCCAGCACTCCCAGCACTCCCAGCACTCCCAGCACTCCCAGCACTCCCAGCACTCCCAGGCAGCTCCCAGCACTCCCAGCACTCCCAGCACTCCCAGGCAGCTCCCAGCACTCCCAGCACTCCCAGGCAGCTCCCAGCACTCCCAGCACTCCCAGGCAGCTCCCAGCACTCCCAGCACTCCCAGCACTCCCAGCACTCCCAGCACTCCCAGCACTCCCAGGCAGCTCCCAGCACTCCCAGCACTCCCAGCACTCCCAGCACTCCCAGCACTCCCAGCACTCCCAGGCAGATCCCAGCACTCCCAGCACTCCCAGGCACTCCCAGCACTCCCAGCACTCCCAGCACTCCCAGGCACTCCCAGGCAGATCCCAGCACTCCCAGCACTCCCAGCACTCCCAGCACTCCCAGGCAGCTCCCAGCACTCCCAGGCAGCTCCCAGCACTCCCAGCACTCCCAGGCAGCTCCCAGCACTCCCAGCACTCCCAGCACTCCCAGCACTCCCAGCACTCCCAGCACTCCCAGGCACTCCCAACACTCCCAGCACTCCCAGCACTCCCAGGCAGATCCCAGCACTCCCAGCACTCCCAGCACTCCCAGGCAACCCCCAGGCAGCTCCCAGGCAGTCCCCAGGCTGTAAGGCCCACAGGGCGGAGTCTGTACCTGGGAGTCTGCAGGTCTGATGAAAAGCAGGGGACTCCTGATTCTTTTTAGGATCAGCCATCTTACACTCACACCCTCAGAATTACCCACGAATGGTTTCGTAGAGTTTGGCACAGAGCCTGGCAGTGGGGTTGGCGTGATAGTCTGGCCAATGCACGAGAGTGTTACATCACACTTGCCCAAGCCCACGGTGCACAGGTAGGGTGGGCCATTGGGGTCTCACTGTTCTGCAGAACTCAAGTCCATCTTCCTCCTTACACATCCATCATGAGACTGTTGTCAAGCACTTACGTGCCTTGTGCAGATGTCTGTGTGCCCATGTGGACATACGGGTGGAAAATGTCTGGTCTGTGAGACTCGGGGCCCTGAGCTGGTATGCTGGGCTCCAAGCCAGCGCTCCTTCGTCTAGCAGGGGTGGGGAATGTCCCGCCTGCAGGCCGTATAAGGCCCACAAAGTCAATACCAGTTAGCATCACACACCTCACGAAATTAGCCTGACCAAATAGAGCAGGCTAATTTTTAGGTGGATAATTTTGTACGGCCCTTGAATACTGTTGTAAATATCCAAGTGGCCCTTGGCCAGAAGAACGGTTCCCCACCCTGGAGGCAGCGGCACCTCTCAGCAGAGCCCTGGCTCTCGTTCTCACGTGTCCAATTCAACCCCACGTGCATCGAGATCCCAGGCTGGCTGCAGGAGCCGCTCTTGCAGCTGAGAGTCTGAGGGCTGCCTGTGTGCCTGTCCCCAGGGCCCAGCACGTCCCTCTCACACACCAAGCGTGGCACCTGCTGCATACCACGCCCACCAGGACCGTGAAGGCAGCTTCCTGCAGAGATGCCAACAAGGTCTCCCCCAGCCCACGAGGGCCCCCTTGGCTGCTGCTGGCCCACGGAAAGTCCCACAGTAGGCTGAGGCAGCGGACAGTTGGGGACACAAGAAGCTGGGGGCCAAGGACACCCGCTCTCCTGCATCACTTCCTCCTACAGGAACCCAAGAAGCGCATCTGCTTGTCCAGTTGAGAAAGCACTTCCTGGAGGCTGCCCTGCTTCACGCTCAGGACCCACACACCTGGTGAAGTGTTCTACCAAGTCACCGGGGAAGGACACCAGAGCCACTGGCTGGTACTCTTGGGAGTTACAGCAGAGACTTTATAAAGCCCACTGGCCGCCTGGCTGGAGTGGCTCAGTGGTTGAACATAGGCCCACACACCAAGAAGTCACCTGTTTGATTCCTGGTCAGGACACATGCCCAGGCTGTGGGCCTGATCCCCAGTGGGGGGCATGCAGGAGGCGGCCAACTGATGTTCTCTCTCATTGATGTTTCTATCTCTCTCTCCCTCTCTCTCTCTAAAAATCAATAAAGAAAAGTTATATATATATTTTTAAAAGCCCACTGGTCTGGGTGCGTGGTCCCTGGACTTGTCTGACAGCGCACCCCCTCAATGAGAACCCAGAAGCTCACATAACCAACACGTGTACATCTGTTCATTCTTTACACAATGTGCTATGTACCAGTACACTGTGACCATTACAAAAAATACCAAGGTTGAACACTTTAAAGGATGAAGACGAGGAGAAAATAACCACTATTTTAAAACATATCAACGTGTCCTCTACCAAGAGTATCAACAACCTTCTGTGAAATCATTAGTAAGTCCTAATATTTTAGTGAGAGCAACAGGACTGACTGTGACTCCAATTTTTTCACTTATAGGGGACTTTTTTGTGACTCAGTGATTTTAAAGTAGCCTGGTTACAGCCTCAGTTTATTCACCAAAGTGTGTCTGAGCCACAAAGACCCTCCCAAAGACACATGGACCCCCATGGAAGAAGCTCGCCTTTGGCAGCAAAGGAGGCCTCCCCACGCCCGCCCCACACGCTGTGAGCACCGTGAACTCAAGCTCAGAAAGCCATCTCCCACATTTCCCTGCCAGGGTACACTGGTTTGGTTTTGTTTTTTAATCCTCACCTGAGGACATTTTTGCATTCATCTTAAGACAGAGAGGGAGGGAGGGAGGGAGGAAGGGAGGAAGAGAGACAGAGAAACATCAGTGTGAGAGAGACACATCAACTGGTGGGGGACAAACTACAACTGAGCTACGTGCCCTTAGTGGGAACCGAACCCGGGACTCTGGTCCGCGGGCCAACGCTCTAACCGCTGAGCCAAACCGGCCAGGGCTAGGCTGGTATTTTTAACAACCCCATTCAAAACCCACTGAAATGCTCACTGAAAGTAGTTTAAAGCTGATTAGACAAACTCTGTTCCCAAGTTGAGGGCGCAGATATTAATTTTTAACAGGTGGCACCTTTACACTGTGTTTGTCAACGAAAATTACAGAATGAGGGAAACCATTAAAAACATCTGTTTTCGTAACATTCTTTCCATAGAAACAATTTTTTGGAAAGCACTTTCTCCCGTTCTTCGCCAAGCCTCACCTGTACCTTAACAAATGACCACGTGTGTTGACTTTTTCCTAGTATCTTCCAGGGGCCTGCCGTCGGCCACCACTCGTCATCAGAGAAAATTCGGGGAGCATTGGACCTTGTACAAATGAGGACGCACCCCTCTTCAAGCTCTACGCGCCCCTTCACTATTCTGTGACAAGGCGCAGCACACAGAGATGGCGTCACAGTGCTGTCAAGGGCTGGCCATGCCGCGGCGACACCACAGCGCTGATGGGGGCCGCAAACGGCAGCCTGGCTGTCCGACCCGAGGGAGCGGTCAAGGCAGACACAGCCGTCAGCCCGGCGGGGCGCGGAAAGGCCCTTGGAAACTGGAATGAGAACGGCGCTCTGTGGCCAGGTGGACAATGCCTGAGCCCGTTTCTGAACTACAAGTCGGACCGATGTGGACAAAGGCTGGGAAGAGAGTCCCCAATGTCCAGGGACTGACGTTGTTGTGATACCCCTTCTAAAACAGAGCTCTTCTGGACCGGCGCCAGGGGGAGGAGTGGGCTTGGGGTGGGCTGGGGGCTGCGTGCCATCTTCGGTCCCAGAGCAGCACCCCTCCCTGGGAATGCACCTCGCTGGGAACCTGGTATCCCCGAGCTTCGCCTTCGCCTCCTTTCCTGGAGCTCATCAGAATTCCGGAGTAGTCAGGAAGCAACCCTGAGTTCTCACTTAGCAAGTCCCATTCCCAGGGAGGAGGGAGCGGACGGGCGCTCCCCTTCGGTCTCCACTCACCCGTCTGGGCCTGGGGGCAGCACCACAGAGAGTCCAGGATGGGCCTCGCACCTGCAGCACAGGCCGCAGGACGCTGGCTCCAGCCAAGTGGCTGGGGAACCCCACTGGGAGCCTAGGGCAGGACCCACGGCACGCTCCCTGGACGGACCAGGGGCTCACAGAGGCCACGGTAGCCCCCCACCCCCCGGAAG